CCTCCCATATAGAACATTTTTCTTGTTGTACACCTCTGCAGGAGGCAGCAAGGATGTAGACACTGCTCCCATATCTGCTTCCTAACCACTGTCAATGTTTCTCTCATATACTTCACACATGCACTTTTATCAGTTTGGGTGCATCAAGTAAACAAACATGTATGCAGATGTTTTCTTCTCCTTTTCTTGATATCCAGGAGAGTGCTTCCTGCTTTTGTTATGTTGCTGAAATGATTTCAGCTGCTGCTGCAGCATCCCACTGTTTGGACTTGGCTGCTGAGGCTCATGTTCTGTGGTGATACCAGTTATTGAGCAGCCTAAGTTTCTTGTTTACTTTTTTGTCATGTAATCCAAGAGTGTGATTGGGTTTAATAGCTTCTGCCTGCAGCATCCTGAACTGACAGGCTTCTCAACTCAGCAGGGTTTAAAATGTTCAGATACAGCCTCGATGCAGGATGACAGATGATGTCAGCTTTATGCACCTGGTCTTTTGATTGCACTTTGCTCAAATCCCTGGGCCACCTTTCAGTCTGCATGGATCTCAAGCTTGTGTGATTAAACTCTGATTGAGCTCTGCTTATGCGGAGAAACATCAAGCTTCCAGTGGCTTCGTATTAGGGTGGTGTCAGACAGAGGATGAGGTTTTCTGTCCCATCCCCTCCCTCCCAGTCACCCTAGGTTGGGCTCCTGAATAACCACGGGGCAGACCCCACAAGGCTGACCTTCTTCTATTCACACTGAGGATGTTGAAACACTAGCCGTCAAACAAAAGACACATTGAAACAGAGAGCTGCAACCCAGCACGTGTGTCTGGGTGCTGAAGTAGACCATTTGTTAACTCTCAGCTTCCTACTGACCAATGGAACGTGTCAGCACAAATCGAGGCAGAATTAAACTGTAAAAGGACATTCAGCTGCTTCTGACACAGATTAGGGAACAAAACCTAAATGTAAAGCTTTAATTATTTTTAATAAAACCTCATATGACTTTAAACACTGAAAATTATAGTTTTCTCGCCTGGACTGCAACCAGCTCATGGTCTGCGTGTGGCACTGTGGATTGACAATGGCAACATGTTTTCAGCAGAGGGTGGGAGTTTTCACTCTTGCTTTTCTACCCGGCCAACGAGGTGAGAGTAAAGACAGAAACTGAAAATGGCTGTGCCACATGGGAAATTATTCAACTCTCAGATCAGAGAGGGCACACAAGAGGCCTCATTACCTCCAGCAGCACTGCTGGGCAGCCCCCAGTGTGTCTCCTGTAGCCCCACTCACCTAGTGAAATGCTGTCTTTATGATGCATCTGATGGTCCTTCTATCTGAAAATATTCCAGAGATGTGCAGGGTAATTTTATACCCATAAGGTGTAAAGATAAAGACTTCTTTGTCAGTCCAGTTTGCAGCCTGGCCCTCCTTTTATCCACAATATCTGCTTAAGTAGCTGGTAAACAGTGCTGTTAGATGGCATATAATGTCATAATGTTATTGATTCGGCTTGGGAATTCCACTTGCAGCGAGCAGCTCCTGTGTACCAAGAGCTCTCTTAAGGTCTCTACCAGGAAGAATGCAAGCGAGTCAGCGACCGACTGCTCTTCCTCCGTGGTCAGAGCCTGTGGGAGGTTTGTATGGGTTTCGCTCAAGGTCCTTTTTGTGTTGTCTTTGCTCCTGGGATGAATCATCCCACTGGTATGGCTGTTTTAAGTGAATAAGGAAAGTGCAGGGCAAGTGCTGCGCTGTCCATAGAGTAAGTATGGACAGCTTAATCAGTAGGCTTACTTTGGTGTCAAACCGCACTTAATGTCTAATAATCCTATTATTATGTTACTTGTGAGTAACTGCTACATTGTAAAGGGTTATGCTGATACTGAAATATCTCTGGCAGTGAGAGTGCTTAGGATAACTAGTGGTGGAAAGAAGCTAATACTAAAATTGACGACACTTCAGAACGAAATGTGCTTTTTAACTCAGCTACATTTTTATTGTGATAGTTACTAGTTACTCTTAAGTAAAATGCAAAACTGGTGATGATGTTATGAACTACTTTTCATTGTTGTAGTTTAAACTAGTGGTTTCCAACCTTTTTTTGGCTTGTGACCCCCTGTGAAAGAACCAGAAAATCAGTTGCAACAGCAGTGACATGCACTGACTTTATTGATGTTTGGTCATACCTCATTGGTTAAAAGAAAGACATTCCTGACCATTTTAAGATCTGACGAATTTTGCCTCATGAAAGTAAAACCAAAACTTTAAAAAGCAAGCACACATGATCAACAGGGTGCAGTCAGAGTTTAAAACTACAGTAAACCACATAAAGGTCTTGGCTTCACTCAAACTAACTAGAACATTAAAATTCTGCTTCTTCATACTGTAAGTGTATTTTGCTGCCAATATGTTTGTAATTTCACCTGTAATGTCCCATTTTGACACTATAGTATAGTTGAGTTTTGCTTAGGGATCCAATATTTCTTCCACCACTTAGAATAACAAAACAAGCATTTGCCCAACAGCATATCACCATATTCTTCTCACTTGTTTTCTTCAGAATTCCTCTGCATGTACTTGCTATTGATGCTTGTGACGCTTATCCTGGTGGCATGACGAAGTAACAGCTATCCACCGAGAGGTTTTACGATGGATAGAACGGTCAGACTGTACCTACCAGCCTGACTGTTGACTGTTAACACAAAGCTTCTATTTTCAAAACACAGTTCAGGGAAAGGGAATCTGTGTGTTAGTGGAGGAGGGAGATACAGAGTAGAGCAATGGGTTGGTGAGGTGCTGGGAGTGACGCCAGACCACACATCATTTAATCACATTAGAGTGTGCAGCCTTTTGTGCATATTTTCTGTTGCATTGGTGATATAGGAGTTGTTGTACAAAGTGTGCACAAGGAGAGGGCTTGACTGTTTGATGGAAAGAAGAAAAATCACTCTCAATCTGGGGTTTGAAATTTATCAAATTGCAGATTCATTTCCGCTTTGTGACCAAAATATGAAAATAAAACTTGGATTTCATTTGGTGCTGCAACTAGCACCGTGTTGAGAAATCTGAAGCAGCAACATGTGAGAGCACTTAAAAGTTGATCCTGTGGAAAAATGGCCATTGTGCATATTAGCACTGGATTTGAATGTGTCCTTTTGACTTAATCCCACTATTGACTCGTCTTCTAAGTACCAAGAGTGTTATTATTGCTCGTTTTAGGAAGCCCCTCTCTGCATAATCTCACTTAATCTAATCTATTCCCTTTATAATAGACTGCGAATGATGTGACTTTATAGAAAACACTTTAGTGTAGATCCATACCAAACAGACTGGTGTGCCGTTGCTTCTCCAACCCCTCTGGCAAAGCTCTTGTGAAAATGCAAGTGACCTCTGTGCCCCTTGTTAGTCTCAACAATAGGCCTGCCTCCTCTTACAGCTGCAGCCATGCTGGAGGGGAAGTTAGCCGGAACAGAAAACACACATCTCATGATTAATAGGTCTGAATACTGTATTTTTGGCTTGTTCCCATGCCTGTTTGGTGCACCAAGAACATTTCCTCTTTATTTGATATCTCAACTCTGTGTGGGTTTCAGGGCTGCAACTAATGATTATGTTCATTATTATTCAAAACACAAAAGAAACACAATCTTTACAAGCTGGAACAGCAAAAGCATTTCTACTAAAATGTGATTTAAAAAATTGACTATTGAAATAACTGCTACTCTTCTGCCACTGACTTATTGATTAATCAACTAATATCTAGCTCTAGCAGAATGTGTCGCAAATGCTCGAAGTAACTGACAGGTGTCTTGATGATACGGATGCCCATGGAAGTTAAATATCAAATTTCATTCTGTCAGTGCTGAAGCAATTAGACACTCAACAGGAAGTTAATTTATAATGGCTTTGAAAATTGAGTTAATTGGGAAGAAAAAATGTCAAACATTCTCTAGATTCGGCTTCATAAAATGAAGCTATTTTCTGCTTTTTCAGTATATTTTAGAATGAATGTTTTAGACTGCTGATTGACAAAAAAATGCATCAGCTTGAGTTCTTGGAAGTGGGTAACTACTGTATCAGCTTACTCTGTTAAGTTGTCAGTGCTCTTTTTGGGATGACATGGAAGCTAAAGATGAAATTAAAATGCAATTAAAATCTGCTGATAATTTGTTTCCATATTTGTTGTTATCAGCAGGGTTAAACAGGTGAGCGAGAATGCGACATGATAGCTGTGAAGAACTGAAA